AACTTTCTTTTTCCTCGATTGTTTACCCTAATAAAATCGCCAAATACAATTTACTCCCTAAAGGTTATATGGTGCTCAATGATGCAGATCGTAGGTGCAGATATGTTTCGCTCTAATAAAGATGTAAACTACCTTTAGTGTTAAACACGATAACGGTGAATAAAAAGTCACAATTTTCGAAATTTCGCTTTCGTTTCTTAAACGACATCTGAAAAACAATGATTTCTTCGATTTAGTCTTAATCTTTTAGAAAAACTATGTAATGGCATAATTGGAAATAGGAAGGTATTTTATTATGTTTTGGCTGCGATGAGGGAAAATAATTTAATTTTTTTAACAAACTGATTTACGTGCGACATAGAAACGGTAGGCGCAGTTAAATTTTCCTTTAACAATGATTGTTGTTTTTTTTTATTTTATAACAACTAGAAATTTGCGAGACAGGTTTTTTTTTATTTATTTATCGCGGAACTTCAATTAAAAATCTATCAATTTTCGAAAATGCAGAGGAAATGTTTGTAGTGAAGTAATTTATAACAATTTTCATTTCTCAGCTGTTAAAATTAATTTCAAATTAAAATAAAAATTATTCCTGTTCCTGTATGATTATTCACAAATATTTTATTGTGTCTAATTCTATCGTACTTAGTAAAACAAGCACAGGAAAATATAATTCAATTAAAATAAAGTTATTTCGAGCATAAAACTTAAATCTCAACTGAAAAATATTCGTGTAAACATTCCGCTCAAATTCGGGAACATTTTTCTTAGAACTTAAAAATCTATAAATTTGCGTATTTTTTTAGTTCATTTTTTTTTAGTATTGTCACCCATTGTTTAACTCTTTCAAGATTACTGTGCTAAAATTAAGAGAGTTTTTGAATTTTTTAACATTTAAGGATCAAACTAATACATGAAGTGTAGCGAAATACAGACGTTATATTTTCATGTATAGAGTTTTATAAATGCAGTAATCTATTTTTTACATTACATGAAGAAAGAGCTGGGCTTCATATTGTTTTCTGAAGCATTTTATTTAATTTTAAAATAGTAGAATTTGATTAAGAAAAACTGTAAATCTACCTTGAATATTTTTTTAAATATGCCCGTTTTTTAAAAAAGCCCGTACTTTCCAATAATGCTTGTTATAAAATTTAGTTCCCATCGTCAAATGGGTTGACATAATATTGTATACCATGATATAGTATTGTGTACCATGTACCATAGTTTCACAAAATAATTTTTTAATTATAAAATTAAACAGCACTTTTCTTTAAAAATAAATAAAAGTAATTTAGCAAAAATATGAAGCATTTTATGTATCCCTTTACGTGCAACAGAAAAATAAGAGTACTGCATACTCCATATCATGAAATAAAAAAATGCCAACATGTCGTAGTTTTAATCACTCTAGAAAAGTTTTCATTTAACATTATTTATTTTGCATTTAGTTAAACTTAATGTTTGATCTTACAATAAATAGGGGCTAATGTGGTTAGATGGCCAGAGTAGACAAATGGATTAATTGTGTTGTTTATCACTCAAACATTCCCTGTAAAATTTAGCAAAATAGCAAAACAGTGTTACGCTTTTGTACGTAGTAAGAAGATAAAATACTAGCCAATAAAGTAGGAAGTTGACATCTTAATTTTTACTTTAATTGTGACTTAACACTATTTTTATTCATTGCTTAACATTTTAAGATATTATATTGTGAATGAATATATGCTTTATGACATACTTTTAGAGTCATTTTGGATTTGCCTTTTTTTTTTTTGTAATTAACCAATACTGAGTCTAAACGAGCTAATGATTCCACAGGGCTTGTTTGAACCCATAGATGTGGGGCTACTGTGATAAAAGAGTTTGTTAGTGATAGTAAATTTACGTTAAATGTTTGCTGGAATTTTTTTTTTAAATACCACTTAACGTTTAGAGGTCTGGTAGGGCACAAATATCTTCTTTAAAAAAAACGTACAGGGGTGGTCATAAATTTTTTAAATAAGGGAAGATTGTCTCTTTTTCGTCATCCTTATTAAAGTTTTCTAAGAGCTGTAGGAAACCTCTTACAATATTTACATATTGACCAAGGCAAAAAATTTAGATTCCTACTATATTTCAAGTGAAATAACAATTGAATCCCACGGTGAAAAAATGGTTTATGTTCATAAAAGCATTATTCAGAAGAAAAGCGATTTAAGGAGAACTGAATTTTCCCGCTATTAATTTGTTAAAAAGTAGTAATCCTCAAAAGATGACGAACTAACCATAATTTTTGTAAAAAATTGACATGAACTTTCTTCCACTTTGGTCTTCAATTGAGGTCAGCAAGTTTGTTTAAGTTTGCAACCACTCAAAAACATCACCGCACTGTTATTAGGGTTTTATATATCTGCTTTAATTGTTTATGTATCACAGAGGCAAAATCTTTGCGAATTATATTTTATTTTATTTTAAAAATAAAACGGAAAAGAGCATTTAAATTATTCCAAGAAAATCTCTTGCGAGAGCGGAAAAAGTGCAATTTGTGTTTTTATTAAGCTTCCACATTATTATAAAGAGTTTAATTATTATAAATTAATTATTATAAAGAGTTTTAAGAATATTAACTCAAGACTGTATTTTTTAGACTAAGATAAGATGTTGATCATATTGTAACAAAACTCGATTGCACTCGAAATATTCCGTGTTAGTACAATAATGAGTTCAGATCACTCTGTTAAAATTCCGGTATTATATATAATAGTTTGGGGGCATCATCCACAAAATCCATTTTCACCGTAAAATACTATACCATAATTTTTACAGTAATATTTATTTAATTAGTGTGATTTTACGGTAATTATTACTGTAAAAATTACGGTATATCGGATTTTTGATTCCGGTGAAAACGATTTTACTGTAAAAAGTACCAGTTTTAAGGTAAAAGTAGATCATGAGTGCTGTTACTTTTCCGGTAAATTAATCCAAAACTTTTTAAAGTGCAGTCTGGAGAGTGCTCTTGTATACATCCATCGATATCACATTTTTTGAAAAAATACTAAGCATTATTGAATCAAACTCATGCCATTTGAATTAAAATAAATAAGTTTTAATTCAAGCATTTTTTTTTTCAAATGTTTATAAATGCGTTTTGTTGGCAATATTTGGGAACTCAATTAGTTTTAGCTGTTAAAAATTAGCGGTGGCTTGCTTATGTTCAGACGCAATTCGTTCGGTCGGCCAAGTGTTTAAGTCCTTGTTTGAGTTTTCCTAACTATGAAAAATGCTGAAAATATGATAGAAATTATTGCTTTTAAGTCTTCTAAATTTCAATAAAACCTGGAATTTTTTTCTCGTTTAATTTATAATTTTTCTGAATGTTATTTATGGAGCTGGAACTCTACAATTTGGGTCCTACTCTACTGCCTAAACGAAGCCTTAAATTAGCTTTTTCCCCTTAATACCTGCGCAGTGAAGATAGAGTACTTTATTCTAGGAAAATAATTCCAGTGCGTATTTTTGTCAGAAAATAATAGAAAAGCTATTAAAAGCCTGAAAATTCTTATATCTATAAAATACTCCCTAAAAAATAAGCAAAATAAATATGATTATAACTATTTCTTTATATTATTTTTCTAAACGTAAAACATTTATTTACTTAATTTGTTAATTTATTCAATTCATTTATTTCATGTCCTAAAGATCATCCTGGAAATCATGTTACAAAATATCCTTCCAAACACCCGCGGTAAAAAGAAAAAGACCTAGAACAAGATGGTTAGATACAGAAGAGAAGTGGTTAAATAACGGGAGTTAATAGATGGAGAAATCGAATAGTTCTAGAAGGGACAAAATGACTGAGGCCATGGTGGCTGGCAATCGGCTGTAATGCTGTAGATGGTGGTCGGAAATCAGATGTAGAAGCCGGTCCCTGTGAAGATACTCCTTCTTCTATGTAGTTGAAAAATATGACGCCATTATTATCTCAAAAAACATTTGACAGAACTTTCTTGACTGACTATTGTGTTTTTAACTTCTTTGATGACCACTTTAAGAATTTGAAGACCTAGTCGAGTGATTGATCAATGTCTCATCTATTGCCTAATACAAATGAAAAATCTCACTTTTTTCTTATCCCATTGTAAGCAAACACGGCAACCATTTTGAAAACAGTTTGTTATAACCAAATCTTCGAGAAGAATGTTGTATGCACTGCCATGGTCTATCCTTAAGAGACAAAATATAATGAGTAGCTTTACTTTTATGATTGTCTAAATTTGTTTTAAAGAATGGCCTGAGAGCCCCTTATGTCTTTAATCCGCGCAAGAAATTCCGTTTTATCCTTTTCATCATCATCTTATTATTTTGACTAGAAATTTTTCAGCTGAAACTTCGCTAACTTTATTATTGATTATAGAAATTTCATAAAATTTTGAAAGACACCCATTGTAAGTCTGTACTTTCCAATGCACGAGTCAAGATGTTTATAGTAAAGCTAGGTGTTGGTTATTCTACAGACTTTTTAACTCATACCTTATGGAACAAAAAGCAATAAAAAGATTGACTGCTGTTTTGGTATACTTTTTTATACTCTGCATTCTTGTCTTTTGACATTTTATGTAATGTCTAGACGAAATTCTAAATCATATTATTTCTTGTTACCTAATTTTAAACATTTCATAGATTCTGTGCATATTCTATTAAATGTCTGAATTTAATACTTTTAACACGTGTACAAATAATTATTTGTTAGATTGTGGTTAAGCTTGATGATTGATATTTTTGTTGAATTTTAAATTATATTTCAGAATACCAGCATTCTCGAGTTACGAACAAAACTCAATTTAAAAATTACAATTTGGACAATTATGAGTAAATGCAAAGTGAAAAATAAAAAAATAGAACTAATACTCTGAATTTACACTCATTGAAAGTATATTGTTTATATATGGCTAATAGTTACTGTTACATTTAACAACAAGAATATATGTAATTAAAAAGAGAGAAAAAAAACTTACGTCCGATCTACGGAGTGTTTTATCATCAGATGCATAAAATGCACTGTCTGCACTAACAGCCCATGCGACAATACCTAAAATATAATGATACAACTAGTTTAAATTATACAAATGAGTTTTTGAACTAATTGCAACAATTTAAATTTAAGAAACATTTCAACTACTTTTTACAAGGAAATTATTAAAAGTATACATGCATAATTTAGGCGATTTTACCCGTGTACCATACGGAATAAGCAAAATCCTTAATGCTTGACTATATAAGTATAATAAATAGGGTAATTAGAGGTAAGATGAGCAAAGGTAACAGTTCTCATAAAATATAACAAATTAGAAATAAAACTAACGAGTGTACCTGCCTGAATTATACTACGTACAATGCGCAAGAAAGAAAAAACGGACCATCCTGAATAACTTTTGAACTAATGATCAAATCTTCACGTTCTAGGATTCCATCTTAATGATTCTAGAGGCTGAACTCAAATTTGCTAATTAATTAATGCAGACGATATAAAAAATTACGAAATCAAACACAAAAACGCACTTTCTCAGACTAAAGATACCTTTTTTTTCAGCGTATTCGGATTTATGACACCCAAAATATTGGGGATGGCCTCAATCAGATGGCCCCAGAGTTTGATCAGGAGTGCGATCCAAAGTTTAGCCCCTTTCATGTAATAGCGAATTTAAAAATTTTTGCAACCAATTATAAATTTTTTTATCGAAAGATAACGCCAAACAAAAAATACGTTTTAGTAAATATTTATTATTTTTTATTATTTTATTAAACAATAATCTCTAAAATTTTGAATTGTAAGGTATACAATTTTTCTCATAATTTTAAAGTTGGTAATTTTGCATGGAAAAATACAAAATTTGAGCGAAATCTGGCGAATAGTTCCTGAGAAATCGAATTTTAAATAAGTCATATATTTAAAACTTGATTTATCAGGAACTCTTATAATTATTTAATTGATTTTAAACAGATTTGAATCAACAAATTCGACCACGTAAAATATTCATATCTGATGCGAGCGCAGATTTTCTTCGTAACTTTCCCAGAGAAAACTTGTTCACAAATAGTAAGAGTCTGATGAGACAACATATTTATTTTCAATGTATTGTCACTGTAAAAACTAGTCTCATAACGGACGGAAAAAAAAACTTACATGGTAAGACACTATTGATGGTGCCGATTTAATCCGTAAATTTTATGGTTTTACACAACCAACCCACCTGCCAATTCGAAACCTTAAATTTTACAAGATTTTTTTTACAGTCAAGAATAAAATGAAATAAAAAAAATACTTTTTATGTTTCTAAGACAATTTTATTAATCACCGTAAACCGGGCTAATTTTTTCAATTCGCAAAAAATATGAGCTTGGAGTTCCAATAAGTTCAGAAATATAAATTCTGAAATATAGAAAAAAAAATTATAGTCAGCATGAAATATCTTTAATCATATTAAGCTTTTTGGTTTAATTACTTTCAGGTTGTCTGCAATTATATGACACATTTTGCTTACTTGACTATTCTAAAATTATCCCTCTGTTTTATATACAATTCATAAACTGTAATAAAAATAGAGCAAATACATTAACGAATATGCAATAAATAGAAAAGTATTAATTTAAAAAATAAATAAACACATTAGCTGGTAAAAGAGACTTTTTATAAATCATCAAAGTTAATTCTGGATAAAATTGCAAGATTTGTATTGATTTGTATTTGTCGTGAAAATTTTAAATGCCTTGTGCCTTGAGATAATTTCTACTTGAATATCGGGGTTTCTTAAAAGATTCAGTTTGTTTATTAGTTCTTATCTGCACTCAACCTTAAAAAAAATCACTTCCTAGTTTTCTCAGTTTTCATTTAATATCCATTTTTTTTAACTGTTTGCTCATAATGTTTTAGGCAGAAAGTTAATTCGGTTATCTACAAAGATATTTAATCTACTATTACTTCCTGAAATCAGAAATTCTAATTAATTACTTAGTAAAGATGACTGAATTTTGGAGGTAAATAAATATTTTTCAATCTAGAAGCATTTTATCAACCAAAAGTGCTAGAATGAAATTCTTTTTATTCCTGTTTGTTTTAAGTCCCAATTAATTCCAATCGAATTTATTTCCTACGATAAAAATTATATAGCTTTTTGGTGTTCCTATGTAGCCAGAAACACGATAAAGTTTACAATATTCTGACTGCTTTGACCATACTTTTTTCTTAGTGTAGAATTAAAACAAATTGGTTACATTAATAATATTGGTAATATTAATAATAGTAAAATAAATGTTTTTTTTTTAATAATATATACTTTATTTTGCATTTTTATGCTATTGTACTATTCAAAAAGTAAATAAAAATGCTTAAAAATTTTCTGAGTCCTTAAAAAATGTAAAAAGTTTAAAACAAAATTCCATTTTCCATATAATTGAAAATATTATGACCGAATAAAAAAACTTTTTTTGTTCATTTTTGAAACAAAATATCCATTATTTAAATTTTTTAGCTGTTTTAATTATAAGTGTTGAAAAAAAATAGAAGGAATTCTATTTTTTGAAATTGAAAAGGAAATTCATTAAAATTGTACGAATTTCGTGCAAACAAATTAAGAAAAAATAACTGAAGTACTAAAATTTCGAATTTTTGACAGTAATGTCAAATTGGTTATGCAACAGCTTGTTTTGAAGTTGGAAACAAACATGAAAAATTATTATCTCGAGAAGCATCTTCAGAATTTCGTGTGTCAGTTGAAGCTCTTGACGGAGAAAAGTCTGCTTCTACCAATTATTAAATAACCAGATTATTGACGAAATAAAATTATTCGTTTAATTTATAGCTTCATCGATTTCAGAAAATGCAAATAAATATGTAAAAAAAAATTCTAAAACATCTTTAAAATCGCTACATTTTACCTCAATCTTAAAATTTTAAATAACTAACTTTATTTGAAGTAAATAAGCATTCTTATTTTATACAAATAGATTTTAATTTGATAGTAAGTGTTTAATTTTTCTTTAGTATACAATATATACATATTTTTAGAATTTAGCAAAAGAAAAAAGGAACTGGGAAAATTAAGAAAATCAAAGTTATTGTGTTTGCTCATTTAAATGAGAAATTTTTGAATTTTGACAAATCCTTACTGATAACAATAAATATGCAAGGAAGGACGGATTCAAATCATTTAAAAAAGAATTCTTAAAATTTGCTTATTTAATGATAAAGCTTAAAGGATTTTTTCTAGTAAAAGACGTAAGTTATCAATTCCTTATCAAATAATAAAACTAATTTCTCATCATTTGAATCCTTGCTAACTCATACTGATATCAATAGTGTTTTAAATGTGTTAAAAGCTAATTTTTTTAATTATTTTTATCCTTGCTAACTCATTCTGATCTCAATAGTGTTTTCATCATGAAAATTGTTTTGCTGTTTCCATCTTTTAAAAAAATATTTTCTACCCTTAATGTGAAGCAATGCAAGCCTGTAACAGCCTGTTGAAGGCCACTAGAGAGACTAACTTAGCCACAGAAATTTTATTGACTTAGCCGCATCATTGAGATCACTACCTAGTAATTTCGAGACCGACAGTAAGATGGATGTAATATGATCAGCATTTCATAATTGCCGTGCCCATCAATTGAAGCTGGGAAAACATAAAACAACTACCATTATTAATCTACCCTGGTCCAACACATTGACATATGAAGACCTTAAGCACTGTTACATTCTCTATCTACTCCTAATTCGTGGAGATTTCTTTAACTTCATTTCTATTCTACAAAAAATATTTTTTTGATTCTCTAAATAATCATCTCTCTCATTTTCTGGTTTGTTAAACAGTAAATTGATTTGGTAATGATAATTTGTAATTGATTTGGTACCCATTTTAATAATTTAAATTTATCCCCAAAGTTTTAGCAACGCTTGACAATATCATTGTCCAACTCCATAGCTTCAAATGTTAAGCTCAACCCAGAAAATAAAGGAGCATCTTCATCAAGCATTGTAACAAAGTCGGCCTCTATCGTTAAGGGCATTTCAAGGGAAATTAATGCACATTTGCATTACACTGGAAAGAAAATCATGAAAACGTTCATAATTAGCCTGACGGAAGAAAACTTAAACCCTCTACCAATGAGAATATTTTCCTTTGATCTTTATCTATGGGAGCTGCTGGCAGGCTACGAATTTCCTAATCGTCTCCAGGATTCGAACCTAAATAGCCTCATCGGATAGCTGTCGCCTTGCATCCCCAGTCATCGCGTTTCTAGATATAAAATAAGGCATCATTTTGGAAAAATCAATTTTATTAAACTCAAAGAAAAAACGCGTCAAATTATGGTACTAAAACCTGAGCCAGAAATCTACTTTTCATAATCGAGCTCGTGTCGAGTTTAGGCTAGTCTTGAGTCTGCCTCATAATCGACGTCGAGGAAGGAACAAAACGAAGTTTAGTATGTTCACTCATAAGTACGGCATTATTATGAGAAATTAATGACCTAGAGAGACGGATGACTGCTCTAAAGAGGATGAAAAGTCAAATAGTCGATTGAAGAAACATGCGAAATTTTTTGGACGGGATCATTTTCTGCCACTGATTGCTTGGAGCAATGTCCTTATACCTTTGTCCATTTATTTTGTTCATTTATTGAGATATTTATGAGAGAAAGGGCATATGTGAAAGTATATTTACTATTTTGAGTAGAGGTATTACATTTTTATTTGTCGTTGGCATTCAATAAAGAAGTATTTATGCCCTTATTGTTTTTGTGACTTTATTTATTTGCAATAGTAAAGGTTCATCAATAAATTTTCCTTCAGTGAATTGTATGATACATGTATTTTCAACATATTTGCATACTAATTAAGAATCATTGTAAGTTAAATAGAATATTAACTTTATCTTAACATAAGCGAATCTAAAATATAGTAATTCTATCATAAGATAGTTAATCAGATTGATAGTCACTCAACATTTTATCATTTTTTAAAAGGTTAAATTATAAAACTAAATACAAAAAGATACGTCAATTTTTAATCAATTTTTTATGAGAAATTATAAA